AAACACATTTTTAAAATTTTTTATCATTAATAAACCTACCCTGTGGTCACGTGATGTCCCACAAAAAATTTGGGCCCGATCGGTTCAGCCGTTTTGACGTTTATTGGATACAAACAAACAGACAAGCCAAATTTATATATAGACTAGGCTTTTAATTGCATGGCTTTATCTGTGAGCATCTTCTCTTTGTACAGTATGCAAAAAAGTTTGCGGATTTCATAATATTTTTTGGCACATTTTCAAAATTTACAAAAATTAAAAACTTTTAAACACAAATGTTTAAAATATTGATCATTCATAAACCTTCCTTGGGGTCACGTGAGGTCCCACACAAAATTTGGGCCCAATCGGAGCAGCCGTTCTGACGTTTATTGGATACAAACAAACAGACACCCAGACAGACAATCTAAATTTATATATAAATTAATATACGCTGTTCAGTGAAACCTTAAGAACCATTGAAAAACAATTTTTCCGTAAAAATTAGACCAGCCCTGAAAATTGCCAAATTTGGTACAGGGAAAAGATCAATTAAGGGCTGGATAAGTAGCCAATGCTTGTGTCCTTCTGTGACATTTAGAGCTCGATTAATAGCGTGTATAATAGCCACGCTTGTGTCCTTGTGTGACATTTAGAGCTCGATTAATAGCTTGTATGATAGCCACGCTTGTGTCCTTGTGTGACATTTAGAGCTCGATTAATTGCTTGTATAATAGCCACACTTGTGTCCTTTTGTGACATTTAGAGCTCGATCAATAGCTTGTATTATAGCCACGCTTGTGTCCTTTTGTGACATTTAGAGCTCGATCAATAGCTTGTATAATAGCCACGCTTGTGTCCTTGTGTGACATTTAGAGCTCGATTAATAGCTTGTATAATAGCCACGCTTGTGTCCTTGTGTGACATTTAGAGCTCGATTAATAGCTTTTTTTTTTTGCATTTTTTTCATAAATACTTTTTTGTAGGCATATACATTTTGAACGAAAAAGAAAAGAATTAACAAAGCCGTAAGTTTTAAGATTGTTGAATTAAAGACCAAAACACGTTTGATTTTAGATAGAAGAAACCGAATGCTGCTCACTCTAGCTCTGGTTAGTCTGGGCCGGGTGAGCATTTACTACATGAAGAATATGGGCCGCTCACCATTTAAAAAGAAAATAATATCAGAGGTCTGGAGCATATTTTGCAGCAGATTGTTAAGAAGACAACATCCTAAAAGATTTTAACTTTTTGGTTCACAACTTATGTATACTTATGTATAAATTGAATGAAAAGAAGAAATAAAAAAATCTTGTGATTATAATATATAGATAATCCACGAAACCAGATTTATTATTAATGCATTTTACAAATACATTTAGAAAATAATAATCACGGCCATCTCAGAATAGTCAGACATTATGAATGCTCTTTTAAATTCGGACCGGTCCGGCCCTATTCTTGAAATTCCGTCCTTTGATTTTCAATATTTCAATAAAATTCCTGGTTAAAATCCAGCGAGTCCTAAATTTAGAACCCATTTTTTCTATTAAATGTAGATTTTTGTATATGCTATTTATATCTTTTTTGTTAAGCTCAGTTTTTAAAATATTTATGAATTATATTTGAATGAGAGATCAAAATATCTCCTCCTACCCTCTCTAGACTGTCAAAATATCATGTTTAAATCTTCCCCGACATTTATCTAAGTTAGCTGAACACAAAGAAACCGCCACCGCTAGTCTGGCCGCCAAGCTGCCGCTGCGCTGGACCCTCCGGCGGCAATTTACAAGTCATTTGAGTAAATTTAGCAAAGGAAGTCGGAACTTGGACCCTATCATCTTATTTTCATCAAAATATAATCATACAAAGCGTATTCAGATTCCTTTAATATTTTTAAATTGTTTAAGGGAATGTCCTATTGTACTGCACCCACTCTCTGCACGGGCAGCCCCGTAGTACATTTGAATTTCCGAGCCGGGTCAACCTTTTCGGTCCTAGTTTATACTATATCGCTCGGACATAGTGTAAATAAAACAGACACTCAATAGGACTTATAGCCGATGCAATAAATTTGACGCGGTCAGACTTTAGGTTGAATTTACTTTTAATTAAGGATCAGAGGTGCGTGTCTGATGTGATATAAAGGATACAAGCTCTCAAGCAAAAATCAATGAGAATTTTTCCATTTGCTTCTTAAATACCAAAGTTACAACAAGTTAGAGTGGTAAAATCAAAGCCCAAGGAGTTGCGACACTTCAAAGTCGACACTATCTTAAAAATTTATGAGACTTTTGATGAACATATATGTGTTGTACTCTGAACTAAGAGTGACATGGACGTACGTGCGTGCACTCATTTAATACACACAAATTGCAATCAATAATCATTCTTATATAATTAAAGCTCTTCGATCATATATCACGCACCCTTGACCCTTCATTAAAAGTAAACTCAACCTAAAGTCTGACCGCGTCAACCTTGTTAAGTTGTACCGGCTAGTCCTATTGATTGTCTGCTTTATTTACCCAATGTCCGGGCGACACAGTACAAACTGGAACCGGAGAAATTGATCCGGCTCGGAAAGTCAAATGCACTACGACTGCCCGTGATATATATATTTAAATATTAGCTATGCTGGCCAAACGACTTGGTAAAATTGGCGGGTTGAGAAACCCCATAGGTACCCTGGAGGGTAACAAAAAGTCGAATTTTTTTATTCCATCAGCAACCTTGTTTTATAAGCTTGAAAAAATTAAATAATACCATTCGTGGGGGTCTAAATAGTAACTTTTGTCGGAAAATATATTCAGGCATTTTTCCTGAGGATTTAAAGAGAGTGACCGGCAGTGTATGATAGTTGAACTGAGAATGTGTTTATGGTATAGACATCTTAGGGGTTCATTTGACAGATATAAAACGTTTTGATGATGTATAATTTACTGAGTTTGAGCGTAAAGCCGACGTTCAAAATCACCCATTTAGGTGGTTACGTTTTGAAAATCGTTTTTTAATTAATAAATAACTACGACAAAAATGTAAAAAAAATCTACAGTAAACTGTTTAGGAACATATTAATCAATTAAAATGTTCTTAATAAATTAATGATAGAAGCAATTATTTATTTTCCATCATTATATTAGTCTTTACAAGTTTATTCGTAAATTTCTTCAAATTCTTCAAATGTCGTCTTTTCAATAAAAATTGCAGTACATCTACAGAATATGTTTGTGAACAATAAGACATTACAGAAACTAATAACTGAATAAGATTAGTTATATTCGATAATAAGAGTCAATTTTTATTTTCTCAACCTGTTTCTAAACAACTTATTAGTTAACAGGCGTATTTTCGTTACATTTTTCATCGTCGTCATTGATTAATTGAAAAAAACCTTTTCCTTAAATCATCCCTCCAAAATAGAAAATGTATGAGGATTTTAAAGATTGAATCAGCGCTATTGCTGATCAAATATTATAATTTATATATGTAATTATGTGTATATATGTGTTTCTTTGATTTGGGAAAGCAGGTTTATGCTATCGCGGAGCCCCGGCCCCTGCTGCAGTAATTTTAATTATATTTTTATCTTTTATGTATTGTTTAATTTGTTATGATGCTTACTGCAGAAAATATATGATTTAATTTGATTTAAATATGCACCTTAAAAACGTCTGATAGGTCTTAAATAAATACTGTAAAATTATTATACAAGACTACATTCTCAGTTCAACTACCATTGCCGGTCACTCCCTTTAATTGTAAATTGATTTAAACTCCCAGCTTCAAGATTGTGTTTTAATGAAAATAACAAAATGACATGTGCAAAGCAATTTGCAATCGCATATTAAAATTGTAAAAATACCGTATTTACGTACACTAACACCCCACTTGTTAAATTACCCCCCCCCCCTCCGCACACACTTTCCTATACCCTCAAACATATTTTCCTGATTTTCCTTCCTGTGCGGTAGCTTCCTTGGTTCACTGATTTTTTGACAAACAATTTGCGGATTTTCCTCTTCTCTTGATTCAGACATGTTTACAATTTGTCTAGGTCCGCAATCTCATGCATATCATGTTTCAAAATATTGGAAACAGCTGAACTTAATGAAAAGACATTTTTGATAGAACGCTACATGCATCGATATGTACTTTTAATTGTGTAATAAGCTTTAAATCAGCAAAATAAAAAGTCTTTGTCGAGTCGGGGGGGAAGTTCAGTTCTAAGGTGCAGTACATAAGTTTCATACATTTACTGATAACGCCGATTCATAACTCCGACTGGATAATGAGATAGATAGAAAGATTGCTGTTACCGCCAAAATATTTCTATTGGTTCAGAATAGACATCAAACACATGACTGAACCTTGATTGGGTCCGGCGCTAATGGACTCGGCATACAAGAGTGACATGGACATTTTTAAACTTCATTTATCTTGTTTAGTCTAATAGAAGTAATTGGCAAAATTCTAAAAGATTATTTACGTCAGAGCTACCTGGCAACCTTTGGATTTCTGTGGTGAGCTCAACTGATTAAAAAAAGTTATTGACTTTTAAATTTTTTTTTATGAACAGCACCAACCTTTTTACCGCCCTGTTCCCTGTATATTCAACAAAACTTTTTTTGCTTAAGGAATCGAGTCTTTTATCTTTGTAACCTGATGGTGTAAACCTGTAATATTTCGACTTGATCCAACAGAATTAATATTAAATATCTATCCACGATATTGAGTTGCAAAGCTAAAAGGATTAGAAGATCAGAGTTTGTAGCAACTGCACACAATTCCTGTACTATCAATAATAAAATTGGAAAAGTGAAGAAGTTTAAGCGTTTGTAAAAAACGATTCCTGAAATTCCTGAAATGGTGGAAAACTGTTTAATTTTTATTTTTTACATTTTCCGAGAAAGTAAAAAAAAGGTTTTATAAATCTTTATTGTTCTCACTGGTGAATTAAAGAAAATCTCTAAACTAAAGTGTACAAATTACAATGTCTAAAATTCAAAATTTAACAAACTGTTCAAATTTTATTTTAAGCTGGAGGGGAGGTTAATATTTAGATTTGGAAATGAAGATATTTTTTATCTTCTTTAAACATCATGAAACCAAACCTGTAAAAATATGATAAAACATGTTTTCTAATTATTATATAATAAAACAATCTGACAAAATTGTGTGATATTTGATTAAAAACAACGAGTGAGGAATAAATCAAAAAATTATAATTGTTTGTTCAAAAGTGCGGGTGTATAATCTATATCAACGGGGGTCGGTCAACAAAATCAACAATTTAATTTCAATTAAATCTTTTTAGTAAAATTAATTTTGAAAAGTACTTGTTAAAACAATTATGACTGATTAAAATATAAAAATTATGAATTATCCAAATTAAGAAAAGACCAATTAAAATTTGCAGGAGCAAAGCATTTCTTTTATCAAGATTGTGTAATGTGACTAGTGCACTAGTGTACTCTGTACTGTAAAAACAATGTGTGCAGAGTACAGTGTATACAGAGTACACCTTATAAAAAGTACTATACAGTACAATAAATATACTGTACAACGTACAGTAGAAAACAGTGTGTACTGTGTAACCTTTCCGCAAGGTGACTATAAACCATTATGAATGTTATGACTATTATGGTTTGTATGGTATGGGTGATGGTGGGGGGAGTGCTGGGGGTGGTGCCCTCCCATACTCTGGCTCTGGAGATACATATAGTACATATTCTGGTCAGGGTAGCTTGGGAAGGGAAGGAGGTCCTGACCCGTCCACTTGTTGAAGGGAGGAGCAGAGGGCAGACCCAGCTCAGAAGGCAGATGATCACCTTAACATTATTATTATTATTATTATTATTATTATTATTATTATCATTATCAATAGTTTTATCATTATTATTAATATTAATATTATTATCATTTTTATCATTATTATCATTATTATTATTATTATCATTATTATTATTATTATTATTATTATTATTATTATTATCATTATCAATAGTTTAATCATTATTATTAATATTAATATTATTATTATTATTATCTTTATCAATTTGAATAATGCTAATCGTATTCTTCACTTACTTTGAGGTTCGCTCTTGGTAGGTGATGAGAGGGGTGGGGAGTAGGGGGGGAAATTTGATTGGTAAAGGGGTGTGTAGGCTAGGGAGGTAGAGGAGGGGGTAGAGACTGGAAGGGGTGTAGGACCACTGCTTTGTTTGCTTGAAAAGTGTGAAATGTGGGTCAAAGTTCCAATTTTATTCCGCAAAATCCTGAAAAATCAGACTTTTTATTTCCGATTAAATGATTAACTGGCCAATATTTTATCTTTAAACCCCTATTTCCTCCTTCTCCTGTTCCTCTGTTCCCCGAGAAAAAATTCTATTGCATTTCCGAATTTATATATTCTTCTGAAAAATTTCAAGCAATATTTTCTGGAATTTTGGTGGAAATGAATTCCTCTCTTTATAATTTCCCCTTTAGGAAGTTCTCCTTATATTCTCAAGCAAGATTCTAAAATCTTTAATTAGATTATTAATAATACATTTTTGGTATATTTGATATCTCATAAGGGTCATTTAGATGATAACAAGATTTGTTCCAAATAATTGGAAATTTTTGTGTAACGTAAAGATCAAATATTTAAAATCTTCTACTTAAACCCTTAAGAAGAGATTTATCTAAGATTTGAGTTCTTAAAGTGAGTGTTCTCGAAAAATGAGAGTGGCTTCAAAATCAAATTATTCCACTTCCCTTTTTTACATCTTCTGTTATTCATTTATTTGATATAGTATTCTATAACTATATATATAGTATATATAGTATTCTATAACTATATATATAGTATATATAGTATTCTATAACTATATATATAGTATATATAGTATTCTATAACTATATATATAGTATATATAGTATTCTATAACTATATATATATAGTATATATAGTATTCTATAACAGAAACATTAATCTTTCCAAAAAATTAGATTCACTTTTTAATCTTTTTATTCTATTTGATTATAGTTTATTTTATACAATATCTAATCTGTAAAAAGAGTTCATTAAATCAAAATTAGGCAGATAGGCAGATAGACAGATAAGCAGATAGACATATAAACAGATAGACAGATAGACAGATAGACAGATAGACAGATAGACAGATAAACTGATAGATAGATATATAGATAGTTAGATAGACAGATAGACAGATAGACAGATAGATAGATAGATAGATAGATAGTTAGATAGAAAAATAGACAGATAGACAGATAGGCAGATATACAGATAGACAGATAGATAGATAGACAGAGAGACAGAGAGACAGATAGACAAATAGACAGATAGACAGATAGACAGATAGACAGATAGACAGATAGACAGATAGACAGATAGACAGATAGACAGATAGACATATAAACAGATAGACAGATAGACAGATAGACAGATAAGACATATAGACAGATAGACAGATAAACAGATAGACAGATAGACAGATAGACAGAGAGACAGATAGACAGATAGACAGATAGATAGATAGACAGATAAGCAGATAGACAGATAGACATATAGACAGATAAGACAGATAGACAGATAGACAGATAAACAGATAGACAGAGAGACAGATAGGCAGATAGACAGATAGACAGATAGACAGATAGACAGATAGACAGATAGACAGATAGACAGATAGACAGATAGACAGATAGAAAGATAAATTCTAAGAAATCTGAATATCTAGACAGAATTTCAAAGCATGACCAAATGCTGCCCAGTTCAAGCAACTTTTAGATAAAACATCTAGAATTCAGGGGAAAAGAGAGAGAGAGAGGAAGAGAGATAGAGAGGTATGGGTATTGTGTAAGTGAGTTATGTTTTAAGTAATAGCCTTTAAAGGAAGTGTTCGCAAAAAATAATAGGGGGTATAGGCTGATATCGATTTGAATTCGGTATTGATCGCTACTGATTTCACTTCTATGTGTTGCATATATAAAGAGAAAATAGTTAAAAACGCTTTTTATTCAAGAGCGTAACATAGCGTCAATATAAATTCACAGCTTTGCATGAATCCACTCAAGTCGCAGAAAATTAAATTAAAATTAAGATTAAGCATTTAGATATTACAACCCATTAATGTCGAATTTAATGCAATGCATTCATATAAGGTTGATATTTTGTAATATTTTTTCTATTTTTGAAATACGATGTACTTCAAACAAGATTTTTTTTACCGCTGGGTGCTTGGCCCCCTAGCCCGACTTAGCTTCTCCTAACCACCCAGCTTTAAAGTTCTTGTCCTTAGTCACATTTTAACCGTTTGTTCTTTGCTCTTTTGCTCTTAGGTTGTTTGACACTAGATCGTTTTATTTTATTTTGACCATTTGTTACCTAGAAATTGAAGATACGCTTGGAACATTATATTTATCGCAAACACCCTCCTGGAGTAGTCGATCCCGTATCTCCCAGGCAAATATACCAGGATCCTTCACTTTCAGGTCCTTGATGAAACCAACCACCTAGATAGTTATATATAAGGTAGATATACTCAATTACCTATAGACAGTAGGTAGGTAGAAGTACTAAATAGGTAGGTTGAAAGGTATAAGAAGGGACTTTTCAAGTCACCACCAATGCTCGATTCACAACTAGTGTTTCCAATGCAAGTGGATTTTACTTGCGCGCAATTACGTCCAACTTAATATTCAATTTAAACCTTATGGCACACAATACATGCAATTAACTATTGCGCAGTTCCTTTCAATAACAAAAAATTCAATTTAAACTTTTGTAGTGGTATACACTATACAGTAAACTGAGCTTCACTAACATTTCAGTCTCAACGGCTAAGAAAATTGTTTTATAATATTCCTTTGCAGAATGATAACCAGAAAAATCTGGCATAGTTACTAATTGATGGTTTTTGCTTTGTAATGACATTAAATACACTGTGATTTTCTTCTGTTTCATAGTTTTCTGGTTCTTACTGTAGTAGCAAAATATCTAATTTTGATTAAAGGAACCTTGCAATTTTAACCAAAAGAAGTTTCCATATGAACAAATGAAAAATGTATCATTTTAAATTGTTAATTAGTAGCTGAACCACAAGAAACAGTTAGAATTATTGATTTTTAAATGGAAAAACAATTCCGTTGCACGCAATTCCGAATATATTTAATTGCTTCCTTTTTCGCAATTATAGCGCAATAGCGCGCAATTCCGCGCAACGGAATTCCGATTGGAAACCCTATTCACAACGGAACCCTTAAAAGCTTTGACTAATCGTTGTTGTCGGAATTATTTTATTAATCTATAATAGCGTTTAATTGTTGAACAATATGTTTGCACGCTGTTTTAAGTTTTAAAAATATCAATATTCACTTTCATTGGCAGAAATTTTTAGAAACCGTTGTTTTGTAAAATAATTACAGGTCAATAGGTTCTTAGATAATAATTTAATAATTAAATAATTTAATTGTTAGTAATTAAATAATTAAATAAAATAATAATGAAAATGAAGTAAAACTACGCAAATCTAAATATTTTAAATATTTTCAGTTTCCTACGTATAGCGGCAAACTGTAAAGCAAACTCTTCAAGGGAAATAATTACTTTTTTTGAAGGAGACATATGGCGACTTGGGGGAAACCCTTCTAGCCAAATATCTGGAGGGGGTGGGGGGGAGAAAGGGGGAATTGAAAAAGAAATTCTTACATAATTAACACAAGACATGTATGTATCTTACCGACTTTCAAACTAACTTCCTTTCTTACTGACTGATTATACTACAGCCTGACTCACTAGCTGACAAAACAATTCACTCAGTCACATACTAACTCACTAACTTACTAACTGACAACCTGACAGGCTTATTCACTCACTTACTAACTCACTACCTTACTTACTGAATCACTCACCAACTCACTGACTTCACTATACTTACTGACTAACTCGCTAACTCACTAACTTACAAACTGATTCACTTAATCACTCACTTATTCACTCACTTACTCACTAATTCACTTCTTCACTCATTTCATTATTGTGTTATTTTATCATTCCCTAACTCATCGCTCACTCACTACTGGCTCCCTCATTTACTCTTTACTAACTAACTCTCATACTAGATTTCTTTAATAAGCTACAATCATTTCACTAGAATGATTATTAACTATCGAGATTAATTACTCACTAGCTAACACAAAAAATCAATTAATCAATCATCTAGTCTATAAATAGTTACCCAAGTAATCAATTAATCAATCAGCTAGTCTATAAATAGTTACCCAATCAATCAATTAATCAAACAATCCGTTATTCGATAAATCAATCATTCAATCAATCCTGTGTTCCTACCTTAGGTGTGGTTACTCTAGGTTTGCTTCCTCCGATAGCTCCGGGCAGAATAGAACCGGTTTCATTATATCGCGCCAAAATTTTAGAAACACACCCATGGCTTACCCTTAATCATGATCATTATTATCATTTTTGGGCGGTTGAGGCGTACTTTTTGCTTTTCATTAAAAAACTTTTTATTAATTAGAACTGCATTTGAGACATATAAAAGGCCTTTGATTTTTCAATTTGAAATCAAACTTCCTTTAAACATCCTAGGGCGTATGCAAGAGGTGGGGGCAAGGGGGGCTGTAAAGGTGGGGCTAGAACTCAGAGCTATCACACTTTTCAAATCTGAGACTGAAGAGTGAAGAGTATTAAAAAAATTAATTTGCCGTTTTTTTNTCACAATTTATAAAGATTAAAAATGGGAAGAATAAATATACAGTTGTAGGTAACATTTACAGGCCTAACACTGCTCCGTATGCAGACGTGAAATATTTTAATCAAACAATAAGAGAAATTTTTTCAAAAATTAGGTCTGATCCTACTTTAAGAAATGCGCAGGATGTAGTCTTAGTGGGGGGAGTAAAACAACATTGCCGTTAATCTGATGTCTGTTTCATTTTATTTTGAAATCCAACAGTTTTTTAAATACAATTCTTTATTTCGGAAATTTAAGTTTTAAATAAATAGTTTTCCAAAAAACACAAGGTTCTAATTCATACTTGATCAGACAAAGCTTATAATGGTACCGATGTGAATAGGACATTGCCATGATGCCATATTTGTATTCCAATTAATACTAATGTTTTGTTTTAGATTGTGATTTTCGTATGGTTTGGTTTGGTATGGCTTGGTATGGTTTTGTATGGTTTGGTTTTGTATGGTTTGTATGGATTGGTCTGGTTTGATTTGGTTTGGTATGGCTTGGTATGGTATGGTTTGGTATGGCTTGGTATGGTTTTGTATGGTTTGGTTTGGTATGGTTTGTATGGATTGGTCTGGTTTGATTTGGTTTGGTATGGCTTGGTATGGTATGGTTTGGTATGGTTTGGTTTGGGATGGCTTGGTATGGTTTGGTTTGGTTTGGTTTGGTATGGTTTGGTAAGGTTTGGTATTGTTTGGTATGTATTTGTTTGATTTGGTTTGGTATGGTTTCGTATGGTTTGGTTTTGCTTGGTGTGGTTTGGTATGGTTTGGAATTTTTTGGTTTAGTTTTGTTTGGTGTGGTTTTGTTTGGTTTTGTTTGGTATCGTTTTGTTTGGTATGGTTTTGTTTGGTATGGCTTGGTATGGTTTGGTTTGGTTTGGTATGGTATGGTTTGGTTTGGTTTGGTTTGGTTTGGTTTGGTATGGTTTGGTATGGTTTGGTATGATTTGGTTTGGTAGCTACCTGACTCTAATATGATTAGGAAGAGGACGACCATTAACGAAAACTCCTCCGAGCTGATTTACTTCTCCGTAGGCATTCACGTGAGATTCTGAAGTTAAAATTCAAATTAAATAATGCAAAAAAATCAAAGGCTTTTAATAAACCAGTTTTTATAATTTAGATCACTCACTAATCTGCAGTACTCAGAAGAAATATGGTGGGATATAGTAAAGAGCGAGATGACCTTTAAATAAACGAATTTTATGAATGCTTCACAAATACCCCTTCTGAAGTTCATTATGATAGCCGGCCATGTCATTTTCTTAAAGTTAACCAATTGCATTTTTTTGACCATTCCAGGACGTCACATAATTGGACCATGTTATTGGTCCCTCACATAATTGGATCATACCAAGTTCATCACATAATTGGACAATGGTCAGGGGGCCTCACATAATAGGACCATGCCAGGTCCCTCACATAATTGGACTATGTTAGGTCCCTCGCATAATTGGAAAATTTCAGGTCCCTCCCATCATTGGACCAATGACAATGGTCAGGGGGCCTCACATAATTTGACCATGTCAGGTCCCTCACATAATGGACCATGTCAGGTCCCTTCCAAAATTGGATCATGTCAGGTCCCTCACATAATTGGAAAATGTTAGGTCCCTCACAAAATTGGACCATGTCAGATTCCTCACATAATTGGAGCATCTCAGGTCCCTTACATATGTGGACCTTGCCTGTTCTTCACCTAATTGGACCATGTTATTGGTCCCTCACATTATTGGATCATGCCAAGTTCATCACATAATTGGACAGTGGTCATGGGGCCTCACATAATAGAACCATGCCAGGTCCCTCACATAATTGGACTATGTCAGGGCCTCACATAATTGGACCATGTCAAGTCCATCACATAATTAGACCATTTAAGGTCCCTCACAAAATTGGACTATGTCAGGTCCCTCACATAATTGGACTATGTCAGGTCCCTCACATAATTAAACCATGGTCAGATCCCTAACAAAATTGGACCATGTCAGGTCCCTCACATAATTGGAACATGTCAGGTCCCTCACATAATTGAACCATGGTCAGATCCCTCACATAATTGGACCATGTCAGGTCTCTCACAAAATTGGACCATGTCAGGTCTCTCACAAAATTTGACCATGATTTATGAAATTGTGTTTGTATGTTTTATTGTTTAAAGAAATTTGGTTAATTATCCGTCTTTATTGTTGGTTTTTATTTAATACCAAACCATAAATATGGATGATTGATTTCTATTGGGTTGAAAACAACATCTAATCGATCATAATGAGTTGTTTTTTTTGGTTGATTATGTTTATGCTTTGTTTTCATTATGGATTCATTTGAAAGTTGATAATTAAAAAATATTTGAAAAGGTTTCCTTCATCAGTGTAAATCATTGTATGTTGTTTTTAATGCTTATCTTTTATTGTCTTGAATTGACTTGTTTTTGGTTTTGTGAATATACAATAATACAATGGGATGGGTCGGGTTGAAAAGATTGTGGGTGGG